CGTCACACTTCGCGCAGAGCGCGTGCCAAGCAACTCATGCACGTTTATATACAGACCCTGGCACATACAATGCAAGGTTCACTACCATTGGCCAAAAGTAAGCTCCGCCCACCTTTTATAGATTTTCCCAACGCTGCTTCAGTCTGGAATCAGGAATCAGTACCGTTTCTTGAATGCCAACTAAGGTTGTGCGTGACATGTTCTACGTGTGCGTACGCACATGATCGTACGCATTTCTTCTTCAATCCGGCAAGCATGTCACGAATGTCAGATAGTCAGTCAACCATTAGCCACCTATAGTTCGAACAATATATCCTGATTGGTCGCGGGAATATCTCGCTATCGATTTGGCATATCCTCTTTGTAGATAGTTTCTGTAGTAATTATCACTACATCCGAAATGTTTATTGAAATCGACATCCACACCGAAAGGGATTGTAACACCGGAGAAGATTACTGGGAGTAGGAGTGATGGAATCGCACACCACAGGTGAAAGAAAGTAAAATTATACTGTCTAACATCTAGGCCATTAGGAGAATACGTTATATTAACACAGTGGCTATATGCCCGGCAGCCGGCGTATATCTGACGGCTGCCGGGCAATATAGCCACAGCGTTCGAAATAACGCCTTGGGAAATAAATTCACGATTTGAGAGTTTAGATGAGCTAGAACCCTAACCCTAACCCTAAACCCAACCCTAACCCTAATCCTAACCCTAACCCTAACGCAAAAAAGGGGCTTAAACGACCGACGGCTACCGTACCTCCAGCCACTGCGTTTAAAATTACTAAGGTAAAAATACTAAAAACCACGCGAACAGGACGCGCGAAGTTTCAAAACTTGTCCAGTTACTAAACCAGCAATCTTGCTCGAACACGGCCCGCATTACATCACGTTCAAGATTGGACAGCTGATGTGTTGAATGTGTGCCATATTCGCTCATTTATTGTTATAAATATTTACCAGCTTCTTGGAAATGTTGCGATCTTTAATGTTTTCGATTGTTGTTAATTCCCGAAAACGTTCTTTCTGCATCTATGTTTTAACTAGACTGGTACCCGGTCGACAGTTCCTAACTAACAGTCAGTGTAGCGAAGCATATATGCCGGAGTGAAGGTGGCAAACGGATACCAGTCTATGAGCCTATGAGCGAGAGCGCCATCTGTCGTGGAGTTTCCAGTGTTAGCGTAGCGACGGCGCTACAGTCGATTTGTATTGGCACGTGTGCTACAGTTTGCGCGCGAAATGTTTTGTTAGTTGTCGTAGCTTTCCTAGAACAGATTTTCAGATATTCTACGCTATAATACCGATTGTCGTATACATGCTCATTCCAAATTATCGACGTCGAATTAACTAGTCATTATGATGGACGTTCTCGACGTGGACATTGATCAACACTTGCGTGAATGGCAGCGAGATTATTTAGACTTCTTGGATGACGATGTAAGCAACGTTGAAGTTGAACGTATTCCGCGGCCTAAGGCTAGCCTAGGCCCCCTACCTTCACTTAGTACCTATAGGTTCAAGGATAGAGAACATGGGTCCCAATAAAACCAATGTCATTTACATCAATATAAATATAATATTATATCAATATAATAGGTTATGGTTAGGGTTAGGGTTAGGGTTAGGCACATTGGTTTTATTGGGACCCATGTTCTCTATCCTTGGGCCGTACCTATATATGGCTATGCCTATGTATTATTGGTACAAGTTGTGATGGAACTCTAGTCTAGGCTAGTCGTGACAACTCGAACGTAGTATTGTAAACACTAACACTACTACCAGTATTATTACTAGTACTACTTTTACTTTTAGTTGTACTCATCATAGTCGCTAGTACTTGTATACTTGTACTTGTACTAGTAGTAGTAGTACTATTACTAAGTAATTAAAGTACTAGTAGTAGTATACATTCTAAATAATTTATTAATGCAGGAAGATCAAGGTATTTACCAACAAAAGGTGCGTAATATGATCGCAAACGGGGAGTTTCGCCTAATTGTCAACATCAACGAAATGCGACGCAAGAAACCCAGGCGTGCCAAGGGGTTTGTAACTTTGTATGGTTGTGTTATTAATATTAATTTAATTGTAGACAATATTATAAATACCTCAAGCCAAGGGTCCTATGAAAATCCTCAGATAATTTTCACGTCTCAATTTAAATCATAAATAAATGTATCCTATGACCTTGTGGCATGCAATTTTATTGTATTTTATACATACACATTCTTGTGTAGGAAGTTGATAGCATGTTTAATCTCTTTGTTACTGATCTGAGTTAGAGTTTTTATATATGCACCATGCAGTCAATTTAAACCCGGACCCCTGGGAAAAGGCGGGAAATTTACCACTTTCTTAGTGTTAAAAACAGCAATTTGCCTGCCCATTAGGGGTAGGTAGACTGTTAAAATCCCCTATAACTGGGGATAATTTCTCAGGTTCCAAACAAAACTAAATTCTGGGTTGTAAAGATTTTATTTATGCGAATTTCTGTCATGTCACACCTTTTTCAAATAAACATATTAATTGGTAAACTACTGCAGACTTTGTAACGCCCGAGTCCCACAATTCCGGTGCGAGCTGTTGGCTAAATGGCCCCGCTACTTATTCTAGTAAAAATTTCTTCTTGTTGCCCAACAGGACAACCATGCAGATATTATACGATCTGAAAATAAGCGTCGAGGTCTGTAATGGCAAATGTTTTTTTCTGATGGTGTAAGTCGATTGATTGTAAATACGAAATCCCTTTTTCATCAGCTTAAAAGGTACGTCTTTCTGGTGGCAAGTTTTAATTACATTGTTACCAACTCTCGTTGGGTGAATCTTTAAGTCTATATTATTTGTTTGCAGCATTTTAGACAATTCTTTTGAAGAACTTATTGCATTTGGACGAGCTCTAAAAGAATTTGTTGAGGCAGCTGACACTACGTATAGCAAGATGCATGAGGATTTCTTCATTGGTTTTGAAGGAAGGTGATGTAAAACAGGATTACAATATACAGACAGGCTTTCAGATTTGAAAAGTACAGGAGGACTACTAATGACTCCCCTAGAACACCATAGGGGGACTTTTCACGCTCCATAATCACACCCTTAAGAGGCATGATGGAGAGCTCCATTAAAAAATCTAGAACCCTGTCCTCCACACAGAACAATGGAATTCGCCATGCGCTCTATGTGGGTTACTCATTAAATGGCTCCACAAGGCTAAACTGTACCTTGAAAAGTGCTCCAGGCTTGTTCATTGCATGCGCTAGGTCTTCATGGTTATCCTCGTTGCCAGATGATATATTTAAAGGCATATAGGTCCATTGATTATGCAATGTTACCAAATGCTAGAGTAACTGGCACCTTGTGTAGTTAATAAGTACATTACCTTATAGCCAAATGCGTATTAGTTTGTCCAATATCACTGCTAATTACTAAGAAGTGTCTAATTGAAATCCGTAAATCTGGTAATCTGGCGCCAACGCTAAATTGTTTGCCAAGCAAAATAGTCTCGAAACGGTTAGGTGACGTCACATGTTGCTACGGGTGTTGAGCAGAGAATTGTTTGTCCCGGGATGCTGCGACTAATGAGCTCGTAGAATGTATCTCTGGGTGTATTCTCGGTATTGAGGCACAAGTAAATAACCGTGGGTGCTAATGAACGGGTACCCACATGTCTTCAATTTCGGACACAGGTGTATTCGTTTGACCAATATACGTAACTACGCATAGTGCCGTCTGCTTTCCATGTTTAGTCTGTGGCCGTGGTTAGTCCGCAATCCCCCCATAGTGTTGGCCCCCAACACAGCCTACTTCATTATCACGAGCGTCCGTGATTCGTACGTGGATTCCATGTTCATTACAATCAGAGCTACTGTTACGTATACAGTTACGGTACTGTACTATCGCTAGCATTGGGTACGGCCGAGCATGCGTGCGAAAATGTCCGGTGCACTATAAATCTGTATCACACCCGCTTCGCCGGCAGCGGTTTGAAAGTGAAGCAGTTCAAACTGTAAACTGTCAACATTTCTTGGACTGCGGATTTCAATTAGACATTTCTTAGTAACCAGCAGTGATATTGGACAAACTAATACGCGTTTGGCTACAAGGTAATGTACTTATTAACTACACAAGGTGCCAGTTACTCTAACATTCGTCAAAATTGCATAATCAATGGACATATTATTCCTTTAAAGGCATAAGACGACCATTGATTATGCAATTTTAACGAATGCTACAGTAACTGGCACCTTGTGTAGTTAATAAGTACATTACCTTATAGCCAAACGCGTATTAGTTTGTCCAATATCACTGCTGGTTACTAAGAAATGTTCAATTGAAATCCGCGGTCAAATAAATCCGTTGTTGACAGTTACAACCCGCCATGACCGGCCGTAACCGGCGAGGCGGTGTCATACAGATTATAGTGCACCGGACATTTTCGCACGTATGCTCGGCCGTCAGTGATTTCGATCCTTGTGGTCTGAGTGCGCATTCCGTACGTTATGGTTTTACTCTTGGGATTCGGGAATAAATGAATATACGAAGATCTTGAGATTACAAGCAACATATAATATGTGAAAAGGATATGCCGTCACTAGGCAAACAATTTACCCGGGACAAACAATTCGATGCTCAACATCCTGTAGCAACATGTGAGGTCACCGAACCGAAATCGATGCTTATTTTGTTGGCAATAAATTTAGCGTTGGCGCCAGATTACCGAATTTACGGATTTCAATTAGACTTTTCTTAGTAATTAGCAGTGATATTGGACAAACTAATACGCGTTTGGCTATAAGGTAATGTACTTATTAACTACACAAGGTGCCAGTTACTGTAGCATTCGTCAACTTTGCATAATCGATGGAAATATTATGCCTTTAAGCCGAGTATTAATGCAAATGAGTGCAAACAATAAGATGGGTTTTATTCCGATGAAAAACAGACGCTACATGATGGCTGACATATTTGTTTCTGTGTCTCCCGATAGGTGACAGCACTTGCTGGAGCTGGTATTGCACAAGGAGCTAAATATAACAAGGAGAGGAAGCGCCGCCATATCTGGCCCAAATTTGGGTTCGGCAGAGACCCTAGAACAGATTAGTGTTCTATTGTCTCTGGGTTCGGTCTGCACAACCGTTTCAGCTGATTATGGTCTATAGATGGCGCCCTTGAGGCGAAAAGCGCACAGCCAATCCGCTTCCTCTCCTTGTTATATTTAGCTCATTGGTCTCGCTAATTCATAATAAACATAACATCTATATGATTTGAATCAAATTAATTGTCTACTCTAAAATGCAGATCCGTGCATATATTGGTGAAAATAAAGATTTTTGAGTGTGAGTGTTCTAAGACATATGTTACCCTTCTATATATACTTTGTGTTACTCAAGAAGTATTGGTAAGTAATAGAATGGTCGGAAAATATGAGAATGGTTAAGAAAACATGAAAAAAACTTACTTTAAGAATGTTGGATGTGGAAGGGGGGGGGGTCGTGTACACGTATACACAAGAAGTTTGATTTGGCCTAGGATGAAGATAACAACCCTCTGGAGACAGAATATGGACTGTGCATGTACAAAGATCATCAGACGCTAACTATCCAGGAAATGCCAGAGAAAGCTCCCGCTGGGCAACTTCCCCGGTCTGTCGACATCGTTCTCGACAATGACCTTGTAGATAAAGTCAAGGTAGGCATAAGCATTCAAATTAACGCAATTTTAGCTAGTGGATTTGATTACTAAATCCTGCATTCAAGAATCACGCCAGGCTTTTTTTTTGGCTGTCTGATATTGTGAGTTATAAGAACAGAGAAATTAAAATGACTTATTCATACTTGTTTTTGTTACTAAAGCCAGGAGATAGAGTACAGGTTGTGGGAACTTACCGGTGTTTACCTGGCAAGCAAGGTGGCTACACCAGTGGCAGCTTCAGGTGGGTTCCAATGCCACATAAATGTCCATATACCTTGTACTTCTCACACATCGTGGAAATTGCCTTATTTAATAACTGACTGTGTGATACTCGCCGCCAAGGTCCCCACTCTATGGTGTCTTTATAAATTTTGCTGATGTTTTGTGGTAGTTGGACACTGGAAATTGGCCAACATCATAGTTTTAGACTTGTTCATTTTAGCAGTGATAGGTTAGCCGTGTATATTGTGGCTAAATGCTGTAAACATCTTTATGACATTTGTTGTAGCCATCTGTATGACATTGAGACATTTCCGTGTATATTGTCACATTCTGGGTAACAAAAAATGTTGGATGCCACCGAGACACGATATGAATATACGTCATGGGCAAGATGGGTGTACGGAGACGTTGTGTATAACACAAGGTGCCGGTGTTATAGGACGATTATGATTGCCAACAACATACAGCAGCTGAGCAAAGAGATAGCACCTATTTTTTCAGCAGAAGATATCGGCAAGATTAAAACGTTCAGCAAACAGAAAGAGGTAACAGAGTTACACACATATTTAGATAGGGGAACAATGTGCATTGTGGTACTGATATCATCGTCACCGCTGTCTTTAGTCAGACAACAGGAACTATATAAATTTAATTGATAAACATGTCACGCAGGAATATGAAAATGAAGTTAAAATGGGGTTTCATACAAACATGTCAGATAATTAACTTCTAAAATTTTTAATGTTTTTATTAGTGATAATTCGTAAGGAACAAATATTAACATGGACTATTCAAATATTCCGAAAATTGGCTTAACAATGGTTTGTTACCACTATTTTAAAATTACATGAAGTGTAGACTTCAAGCATTTGATTTATTTGACAGGATGTGTTTGAGATTTTGGGAAAGAGCCTTGCACCAACCATACATGGGCATGAGTACATTAAGAAAGCTATTCTGTACATGCTCCTTGGAGGTGTGGAGAAAGTTCTTCCGAATGGTTCTCGTCTTAGAGGGTATGTCTATGATAGGCCAAATCGTTAGGCATTCCTGCTGATATAACAAAGATATACAAGCTTTTACTTTTAGAATAAAAACTCATTTTTATAAGTAATGTAGTTACTATTATTATATAGTCATCTTGCTTAATTGTTTTGGGTGTTAATAAATCTACCATTGTATTGAAGTTCTACTGTTTTATATTTCAGAGACATTAATATTCTCCTCATAGGTGATCCTTCCGTTGCCAAATCACAGTTACTCAGGTATTTATGTATAAAAGAAAAAATTGCTAGCTTACATAATAGAAGTAATCTGTTGCAGAAAAAAGTTCCAAATGCGAAATTTTATAACAGGAATTATTCTTTACAATCACCTTCCATTGTATAATTAGAAATGGGTTCCTACAGGAGATCTTTTAGCCAGAAGATGTCGGTAATCCCCTGGTCTCCCTATATACAAGAATGATTGTGAATGGGGGTGAACATTGTCAGGCGTGTATGTTGACTATTTAATGATGTCATACAGTAGCATAATAATGCTGGGAGAGAAATTAAGGGAGTACTGTAGCGACCCTCTAGGGGCGAGTCGCCGGCAGAATGGTAGGTTCAGGGCGTCGAGAGACACCAAGAGTGCTGTCCCGAGCCTACGCACGGGTATATTCAATTGTTCCCAGATCTTTAAAGCTTCCTACTATGTTTAACCTTGGGTCTAACGACCGGTAACACCTCGGGACGGTGGCCAGGTACAAATGAGAACCAACCAACAACACAAAGGTAATCTCCAACTCCAGAAGTATGTAGTTATCACATTCATTATGATATAATAATAATAATAATAATAATATCAAAGTACACTATATCGGTATCACAACATACAGAACCTATGTAACCTCAGTACATAGATGTACACAGCATCAATAGGAGACAAGTCTCCAGCAATCTCTCTCTCAGTTTAATATATATATACTAAACATCAACACATAAGCCAATGCTGGAGCTGTCACTGGAGCTGCTACTGGAGCTGTTGTATGTGAACACATTTGGGACTAACAGGGTTTACTAGAATCCCACCACTCCACCACAGAGTCACCGCAGTAGACGTTAGATGAGCGCTGTCGCTCCGCGACACTTGTTCCGATGAAAAACAGACGCTACATGATGGCTGACATATTTGTTTCTGTGTTTCCCGATAGGTGACAGCACCTGCTGGAGCTGGTCTTGCTAATGCATAATAAACATAACATCTCTCCCCTCATTGACTTCAAACTTCGAGCCGAAAATACAATGTAGCTACTGTTAAGATTCCAAAATGAAATGCATCTAAACGAAGATTATTGCTGGCTTAACATCAGTCATGTCACTTGCTCTGTAACAATAATTGTTGTCGGATAGCTGAAAAATGCTAATGATTAAAACGTAACTTTCTGAAACACTTATACATGTAATACACAATCGTTTCCTAAAACGCTACATAGTCACGTTGATTATAATGTCATGATTCTCACTCGTTATGCTTCCCAGCCCTATATAGCTAAACGAATTTTGAATTATGAACTGCGCGAATACGCGAATTGCGAATGCACAGCGGTTGTGCTGTGACGCGAGGTTCGACAGGAGGAGAGGTTGATTACTCCTTGGACTTGGTGCACACATAGTCCTCGAACCTGACGGGCATGCGAGTTATGCGGTCCGAGCGGCGGAGTGGAGCAGCATTGTCCTGAGGCCTGCGGAGAATCGGGCGTAGAGGAACAGCGGCTTGATGTTCAATGTCGTTGTCTTTGATTGGAGTGTCCTCGATATCTTGTGCATTATCGCGGAGTTGGCGGATGGGTCTGTTCGCCACGAAGGACTTGAAATGAGCGACGTTCCTCGTGATTCTGTAGTCTCCACATGCTGCTGTAATCATTGATCCTTTGCGGTTGACAACAGTCAGCAGCTTTGGGTCGAATGGCGTTGACAACTTGTTTGTCTTCTTTACGCGCACTAGGACAGTGTCACCAACTGCGATGTTTGAGGGTTTGGCACCTCTTCGATTGTCCGCGTACTTTTTCCCCTTCTCTTTTGACGATGCGTCGTTGGTGCGAATCACATTATCGATTCCTTTGCGTTCCCTTGGCTGAACTAGCGAGGGCAGCGTTGTACGGATTTTGCGACCATACAAAACCTCGGCTGGCGAGATTCCAGTTGACGTGTGCGGCGTAGTGCGGTATTGACGCAGGAAGTTATACATTTCTTGCTTCCAATTTTTCTGTTCAACATGGGCTGCACGGATAGATTTCATGAGTGGACCCATGAAGTGTTCTGCTTCGCCATTAGCCTGTGGCCATAGCGGTGTGATTTTACGATGCTTGAAGTTGTAATGTGCTGCAAAGTTTGTAAAATCATCACTGTTGAACGGCGGACCATTATCAGACTTTACGATGGCGGGGATCCCATGTCTTGCGAAGATTGCGTCCAGTTTGGGAATCACTGTCTTGGCGGCGGTTGAAGCAACGATTTCTACCTCTGGGAATCGACTGTAGTCGTCCATCACTACCAGCAAATAATCATTGCTTGGCAGTGGACCGAGAAAGTCCATTGAGACTTCGTCCCAGGGGCCAGTTGGCAGTGTGCTGTTGATAACGGGTTCAGGTTTCTGTTTGGAACCGACGCAAGCTTGACAGGCGAGGCATGACTTTATCGTTATTTCGGCGGTCTTGTCGATCCCGGGAAACCATACTTTTTCACGGAGCAGGGATTTGGTGCGAACAATTCCCTGGTGACCAACATGAGCAAGGTCGATGGCTCTTTGCTGGAGAGCAGACGGCAGGACTAAACGTGTTCCACGTAATATGATGTCCTGGCAGATGGTAAGCTCGTATTTGACTTTATGATATGGCTCGACTGTTGCGTTTGACCAATTTCCTGTGGTCATGGCAGCTTTAACGGCAGACAGAGTGGAATCGCCGTTCGTAGCGTCGGTCACTTCCTTGATGCTGAGGGCCTTTGGCATGGCGTTGGTCATTATATAGTTGACCTGATATTCGACTGCGACTGATATTCGGAATTGAATCCATTCAGATTGGAATGGCACCCGTCGGTGTGGCTGCTGCTTCGGGCGGATATCTTCGTCGAAGTGTATAGTCTCACCATCTTGTCCTTGATTTTGCCGATGCCATCAAAAAGTTGTGGGAACTTCCTGGCAGTGGGGTGGGATGGTACAGTAGGCGACTTGGATTTTATTGGACTGCGTTAGCGAGCAGTAGGATCCCAAGGTGTTGAGCTGCACGGCATCCTAGTAGGTTACCTCCGCATTGACAACGTGTAGTTTTGTGTCAAGCGTCTTAGAGTTGTAACTTACAGCTTGATGGACCACACCGAGGACTGACAAAGGCTTGCTGGAACCATACGAGTAGATTTGCGATGACGATGACTCGAGTGGTGGGCGTTCCGGAAATCCGTCATAAGTGGCTTGATCGAGGGTATTGACGGATGAGCCTGAATCGATGGTCATTTGGAATGGAATTGCTGTGCGGCCAATCATAACTGAGCAAGATGGCAGGCGTCTGGACGAGTTTCGTGTTGTAGCGGTCCAAATGTATTCTGCTTCATCATCGGATACTTCGTAGTTGCTCACATTGCTGACAACATTTGCTTGGTGGTGCGACGGGTTATCGATATTTGAGCTACTCGATTTGCAAACCTATTCGCATTTTGCACATTCTTTCCCCTAGCAGTGCAGTTCTGGTGTGGCAGGTTGTAGCCACAATAGTAACACTTGCCGGTGTTGTTGCGTCGTCTGCTACCATTGTCGGGGCGTCGGCGTGATTGGGACCTCCCATTAGCGTGGTGGCTGGACTGCGAGTGTCGATAAGACTGCGAGTTGGAGCGTGTGTTTTCACGTGATTGTTGCCGATTATTGCGGGATTGATGCTGGTCCTTCATAAAATTTACCGAGTCTGAATTGCTGGCCTCCACGGTTTTAGCTTGCGTTTCACTGATCTCTAGTGAGCGTGCCAGTTTTATTAGATCGTCAAGGTTTAGATTGTCTCTTAATGCTCTGCGGCGGAGACTCTGGGACTTGCACGAAAAAATTATTTGGTTGGCGATTTCAGTCTTGTCGTCGGCAAAACCACATGACTTAGCGTGTCGCGAACGCATCCATGTTTTCGTCACCTTTCTGCGTTGCCTGGCGGAAGTTGTATACTTCAAAAGCTGTATTAGCCTTTGGCGTGAAGTACGCATTGAGAGCGGCTGTGGCGACACTCAGGGCTTCAAGTTCCTATTTTTTCCTATGTTTTCCTATTTTCTGGGCAATTCCTATTTTCTCCTATTTTCTGGACAAATTCCTATTTTTTCCTATTTTTGAGGGCTTTTCATTTTTCTGAATCCAGACTTGTATGTATCCTTCTCAGAATGCAGGAATTTACATTTCAGGTGACCCAATTTTCAAAAATTTCCTGTGGGAGGACCCCCAGACCCCCACCCCTTACTTTAAATTAACGTAATATACTCTTTACTATCACAGATTTTATTTCAGTAAAGTTGTTTCTCAGTTGGATGTGGTATGTGTATCCAGAGGGGGTCCGGACCCCCTCTTTTTTACCCCAAAAAAGGGAAAACACAAACGATAATTTTCTGCTTAAAAATTTGGAATTTCATCTTGCATTCTAGACATCAAAATTACTGCTCAGATGCTCTCAGAATGCACCAATTTTTAAATTTTTTCTTGGGGGAGGTCCCCCTAACACCCCCCCCCCTAAGTGGCAACGTGCCTTAGACACGTCGCATAAGCTGCCTTTGGCATCTTTTTATAAAAGTGCCCTTTATTTCTTACTGCACCCCCCCTTTTTCAAAAAGCCGGATCCACCCATGTATACATGTATGTCATACTATTTTGGAGTAGTCTACATGTATGGGTGCTTATGCATGTATAAACTGCTTTTCAATTTTGACATGCATTTCTCATTAAAACCTCAAAATATTGTTCGCATGTGATGTAACTCCAAATATGTATGTTAATAAAACCATTTGTGGTGGATCGGGATTGCTGTAGGGGTGTTGGGAGGCCATCTAACGCAACAAATATTCCTATTTAACATATATTTTCTCACCAAAATTCCTATTTTCCTCCTATTTTTTCACATCTAAAATTCCTATTTTCCTATTTTTTGAGCGTCACTTGTCACTTGACGCCCTGTACACTGTATTCAGTGGCCCGTAACATCCGTTCCTGCATAATGTAGCAACATTGCGCGTTTCCGGGTAACATCCATGATAGCCATCAGTCTCTCAAAGCGTGTCAGCCATTTTTCCCATCTTGGGCCAATATTTGAGTCGAGATTTACCTAAAATGCGGGGAATGCTGGCAGCGCCATTATCGTTGGATCAGCGGGAGTGGTGGTTGAGGCTTCAGCAATTACAGGAGCATCAGGTTCAGCAACAGGTTCATCGGACATAGCAGTCACTTGAGTACAACAGCGGCTCCACTACCTCCACTACACTCCTCCAGGGTTCTCCCTACGTTGCGCAAACGGGGCGCGCGCGCCCCGTTTGGGGAAATTCCCCCCTGTTTCAATCGTTGCGCCCCGTTTAAAATACCTCCGCCCCGATTAAATTCCACCACAATAAAAGTTTGCCAGCGAGGGAATCGATCGTCAAGAATTCCCATTCGACCAGGACACCCGGCACGTGTATTTTTACCGTGCCACGCATGCACTGCAGACAATACACAAGTACAAACAGTCAACCTGTCCCACACCCAACACTAACTGTACAACGACTCGGCTATCTTATAAACCTAGTTGTAACGACCTCAGTACATGAGATGTTAGCCAAGCATCAATAGGAGACAAGTCTCCAGCAATCTCTCTCTCTCAGTTTAATATATAATGCTAACAATCATCACACATAAAGCGCAAGTGCTGGAGCTGTC